GCTAAAATTAGTAGAGTGCAGTTTCATAAAATTGTAGTCGTTGCTCCGAAATTGTGTAAAAAGAAACAAACGTATAAAAAAAAATTTATTCAGAAACTTGGTAAAATTCTGACAGAACAAATCCTAATATTTTTTACTTACTTACTACGATATCGATATTATCAGATGGAAATAGGGAGAGCTATAGGCTCCTTCATAGTGCTTATAGGCGAGCCACCACAGACCTCAAACCAAGATTCGTAAAATTTATCAACATTAGTTAACACGTTCCGTGCCAAGCCATTTTTGCCTGACTTGTCGTTCAGGCCATTTGATATTTTGACTAAAGATTAATATATTATCACACAATATTTCATTACATCCTCAATACATAATTAATTCTTTTTTTTTTGTTCTATACTGCATCTTGTATAATGCTTCATTTTTTAGGTAGAAATATAGTTTACAGAATTATATTTGTAATAAAATATATGTTTTCAGCGCATTGAATAAATATGACTGCGTGTACCACCGCGGTGGTACACGCAGCCTGACGATCAAGTTTACCGTGTACCACCGGTGGTAGACGTGGCACGGAACGTGTTAACAGAAGCACTTACATAGTACGTTCCCGTTGTTCAGTATCTCTCGTACGTTGTGAAGTGTCAGCCTCCGATTTTTCTAAAATTTGGATATGTTATAGTACATGCAAAATTAAGCGACGTATTTTTTTTATCTACGGAAATACATGTTTAGGGTATGTTAAAAATTGTATTTTAAAAGTCGCGTGTCGAGTTACAGTCTATTTAAGTAAGTTTTTGAGTTTTCATCCGCCATATTGGATCCACCATATCGAAGTTTGATTTCAGATTTGTATTCAGCAATGTAAAAAACCGATATATTAAAAAGATCGAAAAGTTAAAAAATATAGTTTCACAAGGTATTTCGTACGTAGTATCAAACGAACGCGACAATTTAGGAGTTGTTATCCCCCCAAATATTTATATAAAAAAAATATATGTGTTTCCTAATTATTTTTCCTCTTGAAGTTTTAATAGATTCTACTCCGATCAGATCAAAACTAATTTTTTACAGCAAGAAATTTGTCACTTTAGGAGTATTTCACCTCCTAATTTTCACTCCCCTTTCAATATACCCAGACCGATTTTTGTCTTATATCGAAAGATACTTTCATACCAAAAATCATCAAAATTGCTCAACTGGTCTCAAGGTTATCGTATTTTATCCTCACATTTTGGGGGGTTGTTTCATACCATAATATGTTTTTCCGTAGATGAATAAAATACGTGTCCCTTAATTTTCCATGTACTATAACATATCAAAATTTCAAAAAAATCGGAAAGTCATGCTTCCGTAGGTTTACTTGTGAGAACAATAATGAAAATTCATATACACATACAATAAATATTTGATATCTGCAAATCTCTCGGGTATGAACTGTTGCGCACATCGTATATTCTAATAAAAATATAAGACATTTCATCAAAATATTATTGGTGGTATATAAATTATTTGTTACAAATTAAGGAAAATTTTGGAGACGTCTACTGCGAAGAAGCGGAAAAAAGGTTCGAAAACCTTTCACGGAGACTGCCGACAATGTGCATGTTGCAAATGTAATCAAGGTGTGTACAAAAAATGTTAATTTAAATAGCAGCGCAGTAATTTAGGAATAAGGTATAACAGCTTATAAAGTATACGTTTAAATGTTTATATTACTTGTTCCACAGAAAATATGCTTCGAGAAAGGGAGGAAGAAAAAGAATTATTAAATCAATCAAAAGCAACGAGAGTAAAGCAAGGAAAAAAAAGAAAGATGAAATTACAGAAAGGAGAAACAGATGCAAATGATTGTTTAGAAGATCCATGTGATTGAATTACAATTAATTTGACTACTTGTATTCTGTTACTGTTTTGAAACGAGTATTAAACGAAATTGGGGAAATAATATTTTCTAAACATTGTTTTACGCAAGTAATACGTAGAGCCCTATCTAAAGCATAAAACCTCCAGATTTTGGGTTTTTTGCGAAAAAAAGAGACTTGAAAGATCCTGTAATACTTTGTTACCTGCGGTCACGTTTTCGAGATAAGGTGAAGTGGGGTAAGTTCGTAAACGGGGCAAGTGCGTATACAGGTTATTTTTATTACAATATGAGCAAAATTTCTCCATTTAGTATGTAGTAATGTACTACAAGTTGATATGAGCTATTCGTCATAGATGGCGCACAAATATGCACGTATCTTCCTGAAATATATCTGACAGTAAAAAGCATTTTATAGCGGATTTGAGAACAATTGTGCTCTTGTCCCATTGCACATGAAATAAAGTTTTAAAGTATTTAACTTCAAGTGACGTTCTTACCCCATTTTCGGGGAAAATGCAGAGTAGTTGACATTTTAAACAATTTCCTAACAAAATCAAAATGTACAAGGAAATTTAAGGTCCTAGTTAATATTAATTAAATAATAGTAATTGTGCATAGCATTCGATATCGACAGCGTTAAGTATTTACATAGCAGACTGAAAATACTTACGTTTAAATACCAACTTCACAAAAACCAGTCTGCACTTACCCCACTTCACGGTTGACATAACTGGCGGTTGATTTCTAGCACAAACGTACTTTTTCACTCATTTTAAGAAGTTAGAATATTAGAGATCCATGCCGTTACTATTTTCATAGTTAAAACAATATTTTTTTATAGTCTTATAGGATTATTAAAATGGTCGTAAATAAAGACACGCGTCCGACTAAACTAGGTTAATTAACATATAGGGTGTCCAGCGTAACTGAAAGAAGCTGTATCTCTAAATGGCTGGGAGTAGAACAAGATATTATAAGTAAAAGTTAAATGAAATCATGCTGTGTATAATAGGGAACTAATTTTATGCACTTTTGTACATCAGAAAAATGCAACTGCACTTATTTTTTAAAAGGGTAACCTCTATTTTTGACTGCACTAATCGATAGTGTTTTGTGCTCTGCACTGTTAATAGTACTTTTATGCAAAGTACAAAGAACTGTATCTTATGGCCCAGATTCGTTCGTTAGGAAGTTATTGTAGGTAAATATTCTCCAAATTATTTCAGTCACTCAGCAAGTGTTTCGCAGTACTACTACAAGTATTCGATTAATCTTCAACTACAATTCAAGCACTTATCCATTCGTTTCTTGACGTTGCGTAACATATTATTTTTGTCCCTTTCCGTAGTCTTGGTCATTTCCTGTCGAATGCGTTGTTCTGAGCTTCTCAAAATTAGTAATGAGGTGTGAATACATCTTATCTTCAATATCCCCATAAAAAGAAGTCGAGGAGTGGGGTCCGGTGATCGCGCTGGTCATAAGATCGAGTACGAATCCATTTCCATAAGTCCATAAGTCTAACCCCATAAATTTTATTTAAATATCTGGAAACTATCTGTGACTTGTATTCTGGAGCACCGTCTTGTTGAAAGTACCTCATGTTTTGCCGTTTTCTTAGAGAAATCTCTATTTTGTGTAAGAGAATTGATAGGTCAGATTCTAGAAAGTTTAAGTACCTTTGACCAGTCAATGTCTTATTAAAAAAAAAATAGAGTCTGATAATTCATTTGTTAAAAATTCTACAGGAAATATTTAAGCTGTAGCATATTTGATTGTTAGTGTTTGTCCTAAGGCATGAATTTTCAACGGACCATGTATGCTCATTGTGTCAATTGAACAGCCCATTGTTTGTGAATCTGTTCACAGAATGTGAAACACAAAATTTTAATTTTCCTGAATACACCGCACAAAATATCTGCAACCATTCATTCTTCGGTCTTCGTCCTTAGGCCGCAATGTTCGCCCAATGGAAAATCAATAGGATTATCTATTAATATAGATAGATAAAATATTAGATAAAAACTATCTGTCTTTGTAGATAAAAACTATCTGTTCTCAGAATGCGTTGAACCGAGGATTTGGAAATTCTACATTCTGTAGCCAGATTTTTCATGGACACGTAGATTTAATTCGACATTTACCAGTACTGCTACTATATTACGTTTATGTGCAGCGATTGGTTTCAGCACGCCTCGTTTTGATTTGTGGAAGGAGCCATACTGGTGTAAAGTGAACTCCAAGTTGTGAAAATATGAACGCGAGGGTTGTTGCCAATGGGGATATGTCTCCCGATATCGCCTTGTAGCCTCTGTACTATTTTGGTTTTATTTGCTGAACAAAATGAACGTCAACTGCTTCATAATTCGTAAATGCCATAATTTCGAAACACTGGGTCATCAAACGATCGCACACTGGTAGCAAATAATTACTGATGGAAATTTAAATCTTACAGTGACTAGTATTAGCAACCGCTTCATGTTAATAAATCTTATAATGAAATATAACGTAGGTACTCCCGAACAATTGCCGAGTGACCGAAATAATTGGAAGTTCTTTTAGCTACAATAACTTCCTGACGAACGAATCATAAGTATGTTAATATTTTTATGTACAGTACATTAAACTTTTTTTATTGATAGATGCAGTCAAAAACATAGTGTTACGTTTAAAAAATAAGTGCATTCTCTGATGCACAAAAGTGCACAAAATCAATTGCACAGGTTGATGCCACTTAACTTTTACTTATAACATGTACTTTTATTCTCAGTCGCTAAGGAGGTACACTTTCTTCGAATTGCGTGGGACACCCTGTATATTTCAACACGTTACGTGCGACGTGTACCACCGGTAGTACACGTTAAACTTGATCTTCAGGCCAATTCGACTTCCTGAAAGCTGTGTTATCACCCATGTTTCCCTCTATTTGTGTCGAAGAGGCTAAAGTTGGCGAAGTGTATGAGAATATACATCCCCAGTTTGTTTTGATTGCCATCATGATTAACAATGTGCTTCATCAAAGAGACAAACCCACACCTTTAGACCAGATTTGGTCTTACTATTAGGTATACAAATGAATAATCCAATTTTTCTGCTTCATTCAAGGTTTATTTTAAAAGTTACTAAATTGAATTGTTCAATCAAAGTAGTCGCCATTTCTTTCTATAACTTTAAGCCATCTTTCTGGTAGCTGATGAATTCCATCTCGGAAGAATGTTACGTCTTTAGACGCGATGAAGTCGTCAAGGCATTTTCGGATCTCGTCCACTGATTGGAAGTGCATATCAGATAAGGCGTGTTGCATCGACCGGAATAGGTGATAATCTGACGGAGCAGTGTCCGGTAAATATGCCGGGTGCTGCAAAACATCCCATCCAAGACTCATTATGACATCTTTTGTATTGGAAGCAATGTGTGGCCTAGCGTTGTTGTGCAACAGTTTCACTGGTCGTTCTCCTTTGCCAGTATACGGTCGTTTTCTTTCCAATGCTTGACTCAAGCAGATTAATTGTCGCTGGTAGCAATCTGCAGTAACTGTTTCACCTGGTTCTAACAACTCATAGTAAAGCACGCCCTTGATATCCCACCAAATGCATTAATTTTATAACAGCTTAAAATAATTTGGATTATTCATTTGTACACCTAATATTTAGCCTCATACAACTCCACTGTAGTGGTAAACGAATAGAGGAAAGCCCTTTGTGATCACTTCGAAGTGTATAAAGGGGGCAGGTTATAGGCAAATAAAGGAACTCAGAGCACACAACAAAAATGAGGAGATTATCGGTGAGATGGCTAGAATTCTGTGAACAGTGAATAGATCTCCTGAGAATCCATCTATTATGTCCAGATTTGAGAACTCTCATTAATAATTCAATCCTTCATTCTTCTAGTAGTAGTGCCAATCTACCCCATTTGTCACCAGTTGTTTTCAACGCTATTAAATGTAATCATTGGTTCAATCGACTGACACAGGAAGGTAGTTGGCGCCTAGTACTGGAACACAAGTATCCAACAAATCTCACCAATCTACAGTATTAACTATAAATTACACAGAAAATACTCAAGCACTGTAAATAATACGTGGTATATTAATTCTTGCAACGATACTACGTAGCAAAGCTATAACACGTTACTCAATAAGTCCCCGGTCTGACACATATATGGCGATACTGGTGACAGACCCACGTTATTTTCGAATAATACTAACCTTCAAACAGTATGTGTCAAAATTTCAGGGTATTCTGACCAATAGTTTAGAAATTACAGTCATTTTAGTACCCCCAGTTTCGTAATTTTGAAGACAATGGATAGAAATGAATTTCGTGTGTTGATTAAACACTGTTTTTTAATCGGAAAAAATACTGTTGAAGCCAAAAAGTGACTTCATAAGCATTATAGGGACTCTGCACCAGGGAAATCAACTATCATTGACTGGTATGCTCAATTTAAACGCGGTCATACAAGCGCCGATGATGCTGAACGCTCTAGTTGCCCAAAATCAGCAGTCGTTCCGGAAAACAAAAAAAATGTCCACAAAATAGTTTTAAAGGGCCGTAAATTTAAGTTGTGTGAGATAGCTGATGCCTTGAAAATATCAGAAG